CCGACACCTGTGCCTGAAATACAGAGAACAAACCTTGCATCAACACTGCTGCAGCTAAAAGCTATGGGAATTAACAATTTAATTGATTTTGATTTTATGGATGCACCGCCAGTGGAAGCTATGATTACAGCCTTGACGCAGTTGCACACTTTAAGTGCTCTTGACAATGATGGATTGTTGACTAGACTTGGCAGAAGGGTATGTCTCATTATGATATAATTAGCCTCTTAGATGTCCAGTTCTAAAGTCTAACGAATTTTTGCACTATTTGTTGCATATAGAGAGTTAGATTTTGTTGTAGTGATGATAGGAACGCTTATGAAAAATTTAAAATTGATTTATCTGATCAGTTTTGCACTAATTTGGGGTTGGATAACATTTTGATTATTCAATGAACTATTATTTTGTTTTGTGCTATTATCTTGATCTTCTTTTTTCTGAATTTATCAAAATTATTTCGCATGTAGATGGCTGAATTTCCACTGGAACCTAGTTTGTCAAAGCTGTTGATCATGTCGGTGGATTTATGTTGTTCGGATGAAGTACTCACTATTGTTTCAATGTTGTCAGTGCAGAATGTTTTCTACAGACCAAAAGTGGTTTTCTTTCTTCTCACAAAACATGTTTTAATTTACTTCCAGTTTGAAAAAGTCAAATTTAAAATTAAAAAAATTTTTGTCTTATCTTGAAGGACAAACAAGAAATAGCAGACCAGAAGAAAGCAAAATTTCATCAACCCGAAGGTGATCACTTAACGCTATTAGCTGTTTACAATTCTTGGAAACATCATCATTTTTCTCAGCCATGGTGCTACGAAAACTTCATCCAAATTCGAACTTTAAAAAGAGCACAGGTATGTTTTAAATGCAATACGTTTTTGTCTTAAAATTTTTTTAATTTCAAGAGGAAAGTATCCTAATTAATTTTTTTTTTTTCTGTAGGATATTCGAAAACAATTGCTTAGTATCATGGACAGACATAAACTGAACACAATAAGTTGTGGTCGAGATGTGCAACGCATACAGAAAGCTATATGCTCAGGGTTTTTTCGAAATGCAGCCAAGCGAGATCCGCAGGTATATTCTTTTTTAGTCAGTTTAGCTCATATCTAACTAAAAAAGAATTTTTTTTCGTTTTCTGGGATATCGTTGTTAAAGAGGCAGAGCTATACTATGAGACGATGTTTTCAATATTCGAAATTGTTTTCACTTTCAAGAGAATGCAGTTTCTCCTTTTTTCTTTTCTCTGTAGTTATTGTTTTTGTTTTTTAGGAAGGATATAGAACAATCGTGGACGGTCAAAATGTTTATATTCATCCTTCTAGTGCTTTGTTTCAAAACCAACCAGAGTGGGTTGTTTATCATGAGCTTGTGATGACAACAAAAGAATACATGCGTGAGGTTTGTAAATCTTACTGTTAAGATGATTTTGGATAACTTTTTTTGGGTTACGGCATATACTAGCATACTAACACAGTTTGAATTTATTGTCTGGCATCAAATAAATGTAAATTACTGAAGGAGGTACTGTTTTTAGTACCAGTTAATAATAACAGTAGTTCAGCTGCTAGTTTTTGTAGGTAACTGCTATCGAACCGAAATGGTTAGTAGAATTCGCACCGTCTTTCTTCAAAATGGGCGATAACACAAAATTATCTGCATTTAAAAAGAACCAGACGATTAATCCTTTGTATAATAAGTATGAAGACCCGAATGCTTGGCGTATCACACGACTGAAAAAGAAGATCTACAATCCAAACAGATAATTGATGCTACTTAGATTTACAGTGGTTTTCTTTATTTTGTAGATAAATAGTTGATGATTATATAAATTTTGAATTTCATTCCTCGCTTTTTTATTAAGTCACTAATTTGTTTTTGAGCTATTAGCTATGATTTGTACTTTTTATTGACCACTTTGTCCTCTCTTTTTCTTTCTTTGTTTATAAGTAGTTTAGTAAGAGGTATATGAAGTGCAAGAATAAACTAATATCATTTATTCGTGCTGTAAACAGCGATATGCCACAATATGAAGCCGGCGTTTATTAGAACTCCATGGTTCTTTGAATTAAATTCTACTTTGCTAATTCACCAGTAATTGGTTACGCTTGCTCGATCTATCCATTTTTTTTAACGAACAGTCTTTATCCAAGTAATGACGTCGTTGAGATAAAATAGCAAGTTATTACTTTGGTGAAATGCTATAATCAGTTATAACACACAACAGTAACAGCAATTCGCTTCAGTGATCAATGATCGAGAAGCTGAAATGAATAGCGGTATGTTTGTTTTCAATGTAAGAGAAATCTACGAGCGAGACAGCACATATAATTTATGCAAAATTTAAGTGTTATTTCTGCAACCCTATGAACAATTCTAATTTATGATCGTTATTTTTAGGGTGGTTTAAGTACTTGTCGGGGTGGTGTTTTGCTTAATTGAGCAGTTTTCCGCGACTTCACTGGTTGTATGAAAATACCAGTTGTCCCAACAATCCGAGTTTATTTTTTATGCGTATTGTTATCTTCTGGATTCTTCCTGAAAAACAAATTCCAACCATTACCGTTGGGAAAATTCAACAAAAGATCATGACGAAGTCACTTCCATTCCATACTTTCATTCACTCTTAATGATAATTTCATGGCATATGTTATTAGAAATTCCTGCATTTGTTAATAGAAGAGAGCTTATGTGCCTACCCCCCATTGTATGTTAATTTTTCATTTTTGTCTCTGGCAACATGTCTTCCCAATAGTCATAATAGCGATCGACGATCAAGCATTTTTAAGAATTGTGGGAGTATAAATGGGTGAATTCTCAAAACCTGATTTTCCAAATAAACTAGAACTTCGTGTGTTTGAAACGTAGATCAGAAATTTAAAGATTTTAGAATACTCCATCCACTAGCTAGTGAGACCTATATTTCTTATAAAATTACGAAGACATTAAATATTTTCGTTTTGAACATGGATGAATTTAAGTGGATAGTTGAGAAATCGTTCGCATAATTGAAAGAAATTAATTAAGCAGGACTGTCTGAAAATCTTGCTGTACTTTACTATGGTAAGCAACAATAAAGTTAATGGGAAGAATAGCAAGCAAAATTCTTTTGTTGCAAATTTATCTTATCACAAACAAAATTCTGGCACACTTCCAGAATTTTGTTTGTAATATGCTAAACTTGTATTTGAAAGATGCGTTAGACACAATTTGTTTATTTATGCCTTTTATATCAGTGACGACAAAGCGTAACCACAGAGCGATCGGGCCAAAAGTCAATTTTCATGTCGTAAAGAATATGCATATTTTTTGAAGAGCTTATGAATTTGAAATTATCTCTTTTGCTGGCTTACAGAGACAGGACCACAACTACTTCTGGCTATTAGCATGAGGCCTGGATTTTTAATTTTTCAGAGCAAATCAATAATCTTTCCATTTATTCATCCTGTTGCAGATATATGTAATCAGATTACGAAGCTCTACTACTAATTGAAACTTTGCTACACCTGCTTACCTTTCTCCTTCTATTCACCTGGCTGCTTTGATAAAGGTAACAAGGTGGAATTCACTCTTTCCTTCACAAAGAAGGATTCACTCTATCTTTTATAATGTAACCCACTAGATGCAACAAATGACCGATAAGGTTATAAATCTAGGAATTGCTTTATAACAAGGCGCTAAATGCCCATTACCTGCAAATCTATGACAAAAACACCTCCCGCTCTACTTGAATTCCTTTATCAAAAAAGGCAAAAACCGTGATACCTCTCAAACTCGACGTATCGATTAACTACTAATAATCATACTTCGAGTAGGACTGTATAAGCAAAATGAGCTCTTCTTGGTACTTCAGTCTGCAATAATTTTTAGAAATTATTGCGATGACCAGGATTTTGTTATATATCAATGATGAAGATAATAAAAATGATATATAATCTGTCTGAAGCAGTGCTTTAAAACAAATAAGTCTCATTTTTAAAACAAGACTTTTTCATAATTTCCTCAAATGATTTTTTTTTTTTTTCGATATCTATATCTAGATCTGCTTTGAACTTTCAGTGAGAGAGAGAGAGAAAAAAAAATTCTCGTGAATGTTTATTTCACAGCGATATAAACACTTTCATTTCTTTTATAGATTCACGGAAGGAGATGCTGTATGATTGAGTTGGTGTCATTTATTATGAAGCATTACAGCAAGTTTCGGTGAGTTTTGCATGATTTATTCTCTATAAATTATTTTACAAACTTCATTCATTTGCTTACCAATTTTAAAATAGAAAATTCAATTTAACAAAAAAAATTTGAAAGTCCATTTCAACTTATTTTCATTCTTTATAAATAAATTTGCTCACATCATTATTCTCATATTGTTATTATAACTTGTTGGCCGTGCACCTCTTATATAGTAAAACATCAGTGTTTTGAAAATAATTCCTGATGTTGATATATTAAAGAACTCTAAAGTACAACTTTGTAAATTAAAAAGGAAGAAAGTTTCAAAAAAAAGTGATATATTCTTAATGGTTAAGTTTGTAGAACTTTACTACCTTCGCTACATTATTTTGCTCTATACCAGACCGATCTATTTTTTTCTAGAAGTAGAATGTATTAATATAAGAAGTAGAGTGAAGTAAATTAAATTATGAAATAAGGCTAATTCTAAATAATTCATTTCCCATTACTTTTCATTTTATTCCTGAATTAATGACTAAATACCGGATGTCTGTTTTATCTATCTTTAAAATCACATCATATCTGTCATACATCATAGCATCACACCCGTAGAGCAGATTCTTCTAGATAACATTATCACAATTTGATCCTTTACTTTCTCACTGATTTTATCTTATGATTTGAGATTTGCAATATTCCAAAACAAAAATCATTTCTGTAATATTAACTCTATTCCTATAAATCAAATTTCATATATGTTGGAAAAATTATTTTTCTGTCCACCTAGCTTATACCTTTCCTTAGTGCATAACTATTCTACATTTCAATATGCTTGATATATATGATATAACAAATTTTTTTTTGTTTATAATTGTGGTTCGGAAACTTAGGCGACAGAAAAGCAGTTATCATGTTAGTCAGATATTATTCTTCTATTACTTTTATGTGTGCTAGTATATTCTCTTTCAAATTACTCAATTTGTGATTTTAAGCAAAGTTTTTCCAAGTAATTAATTTTGCTTGATTTAATTGACTATCACTTATAGATTGTTGAAACGAACAATTTGGAGTCGCACCTGGCTCATAAATATTTTTTGTGTGGTCATAATTTTATGTACATCGGTCTTATTAGTGCACATATACACGAACTTTTTGTTTAATGCTAAGAAAGGTTATTGATTTCATATTTCAAAAATATATATACTCAAACAATCACATTGAAATTGTCTTTTTCTCCAAAACACAAGACTTTAGTGGGATATGTTTGTCAGGAATTTTAAATTCATAAAGTCATGAAAGTACTTTTTAAAATGTAAAGTTCAAATTACGCGATTTTGATTTAGCGACTATCATTATGAATTTTTTTGACTGCAAAAAAAGTTCATATGAAAAATATTCAAGATTTACAACTAGTTATTTATTGTAATTTTAGCGCATGAAGTAACCGAAGCAATATTTGCGCCATACAATTTTACGGATGCTAGGATACTATTGAGTCCTAGTTTCCAGCAGTGTCCCAATGTATCTGTTTTTTATATTATTCGTACTCATCCAGGAAATATAAGATGGAGGAGTATTATTCGCTCAACATGGGCTGGATCTCTGAAACATTCCTTAGTTAGTTAGTATGATTTATGCAGCTTTCAGTATTTGGCACACACTGCTGTTCTGTAGTATTGAATTGCTGTAAAGCACATATTTTTCAGATATTTGTATTGGGTGTTGAGAAATTAGGTGGAATAAATGAATTAGTAGAGCTGGAAGCTAAAAAATACGACGATCTGATCGTTTTTGATATGATCGACACTTACAATAACATGACGCTGAAATCATTAAACATTTTAAGTTGGATTGTTCGAAATTGTCAAGCGCCTCGATTTTTTATGCAGGTAAAGTTTATGGAGCTTCTTCTTACGTTTTAAATTGTTTGATGAAGCCGCCAAAGTTCTGGCCAGTTTTAGCAATTTCAAATGCGATAACATGTTGCTCGGCTTTCAGATGAATTAAAACAAACCTATTCGTTATTATGTGAAGAACCCTCTGGTAAACAGGTTTTTAATTAAAGTCTGGCCAGTATTGCAGACAAATTTATATTTCCATTTCACTTTAGATTTCACGATCGGTTAAATTTGGATTCATTTGATTCAGTTGTTGTGACATAATTCGGCTGTCTGTGACATCAAACTCGTCGCTGAAATGAGAAAGATGTATTTAGGGCGATCCAGACATAGTAGCGTTTCCGGATGAAATCGCTTCATACACTTCGAAATTGGATGCCAATTTGATAGCCGTATATGGAAAATGTTGGAAGGGTGCAAAAGCACACCGCGAAGATAGTAGTAAATGGTGTATTTTTGACGGTTTAGCTGAACTGACTAATTTATTGTTTTGCTATTTAAAAGTGATTCTCAAATAATATTGAATCAGAAAATTTGCTTAATGTGAAGGGAGCCTGAATCGGACTTAGCAATGTGCTGGTGTTTTGTTGCAATGATCCGGTTATAAGCATTTATTTGAAAGAAGCTGGACTTTTTTCCCTGCATAATTGTTAAATATTTGCGAATTCAGGGCTTTGAACTCACTGATTTACCCATCAGTAACCTATCCGACTTATTTGGCTGGTGGTGCATGGTTATTTTCTCATTCAACCGCGAACCGTCTCCTGATGGCTCTCGAAAAGCCTCTATCCTATGTTCACATCGATGACATGTTGATTTCGGGAATATTCGCAGAACTTATGGATGTACGCCGAGTTTGTCTGAAAACTGTTGGGTACCTGTATGAATTTTCACTGAAACAGTGTCGTGATGATCCTATTCTTGCTGTTTTGCAACTTGAAGATCACGAAATTTTAAACACAATCCTAGACTATCGAAAAACTTCAATAGAATGTTATGCTGGGCGCTCTTCATACAAATGAACTAACTCAAAGCTGCATACTTTTAAGTCCGATTATTTATGAATATTGGTAAGGTGGAAAGTTTTATATTCTACTTACTTGTAATGATTCTATTTAAAATGCATCTCAATTAATTAATCTTTTCAATTCGGGGCATCATTAAGTATTATTCTCAGTCAGCCTTATTTTCCAAATGATTCTGTGATCTGCTATTATAGAAATGAAAAAATTAATGAAATTATATGAAATTAAATTATTAAGTGTAACTCTGTTCTTAAATTCATCCAACTGTTTAATTATTATTTGTTATTACGTTCTTATTCTAAAGATTGCTTTCCATTGCCAACTTCAACTCGTAATAATAACAATAATTATGAGTGTTTAAAATTATTGTCAATTTATTTATTCAATTGAAATAAGGTGAGCCATAAAAATTAACGACAACGAATAACGAAGCAAAGTTTTTGAAGTGGTTAGCTAAGATTCCCTTAAAAGTCAAGCGAATTTCTTTTTTTGTAATTTAATTGTTTTAGATTTAAATATTTCATAAAATTGAAAATATCTCTGCTATCTCAAAACCTGCACAACTTATAGATAAGCCTCGTTTTTTTTTTCTTTTTTTTTTAAAAAAAAAGCTCCGTGGTGTTCGATTTTTGATAGCTGTGCTTTAAGGCAAATTTAAAACAAGTCTACAACGCAAATTCTGCGAGATAAAAACTTAAACAACAAGTCTTGCCAATATGTGCACTCCCGAAATCGAGAGAAGAAAAAACGTTAAAATTTGAAGACAGAGAGATAGTGCGAGAAAATAAGACAATGTCCAACTTTTGTTTGCTCACGCGTATTTAGCATATTTGTTTAAGTCCTAAAATAGAATCGGTTTTTGAAGGAAACGAAGAAAACAGGTTATTATAAGCAAGAAATTTATATTTTTCATTTACATAAATTAAATTGATTGCATTGATGCTTTATTCAATTCTTTTTTTGTTGTTTTATTTCTCTTTGTTGATCAAAAATATTTTTTTGCAGATGTGCAGTGGAACTTCTTTGCTAATCTCAGAAATAAATGAATTGATGAATGCAGTAGATGTTGTCTTTCGAGTTTTTAAAGTTTTTCAAGTGCATGGTGCATTGAAAATGTTCAGATTCTTGAGTTCATGCCTTATTTTAATTAAATGAAATTAATTTAAAATGGATTTTGTTTCAAAAAAGGTGTTTCAATTGTTAAATACTTTAATTGAGACATTTTATCTTTGACCTCAGTAATTCTTCACTTCCATTATTTATTGTCTCATATCAATTTAATTGCTTTCTTATTGTGCTTTAATTAGGGAAATTAATGCGATTGGTTTGCAAAAGAAATATGTTTCTGTAATAAGTAGTTATTTTGAGAAGTATATTCAAATATGTTCTCATGGAATGTTTTAGAAGACGGCGATGGAGATAATATGATGCTGTCTGTGATAATGGTAAGACTGAAAAGCACAATAATGCCAATCGCTTTTTTAAAAGAAGTATTGTCCGTTGCACCTGTATATACAGTGTATTATACCGCCTTGAATACTATTTTCACCTGTTATTACTAACAACACTTTACCTGAACATGCATACTACCCCTTATATCATTGCAGTATGTTATATGCAGACAATTGATCTTCGTATATGCTAACCCAAATTTCAAAATAACTGCAAGATATGATTTTATGTAAATTTTAAATAAACTAATCTTTATTTTCTGATAATATTAAGTGTCAAAAAATGCATCAGAAGAAATCATTTAGTTAGTATATAGCTTAGAAAGGCCTAAAGATTTACAATGACTGACAACGACAATTTCAGTTTCACAGTACATTGAGCATTGAGTTTATGCTGTGCCAAAACAAATTTAAATATCAAAGCTCAAATGAGCAAAATTCCTGGACAGTATTTGCGCAATTAATAGGCGAAATAAATTAAATGGAATATTGAAGTAGGAAATTTACATCTAATCAAGAAGCACCTGATAGATAATCGACTTCTTCACCTATTTCTTAACACTGTCAAAAAAACCAAATGAATATGTGACAAATCATCTTTCGTGGCACTATGACCATTTCATTAAAAAAATTTACATTTATTTAAATGAAAAAAAGCGGAATTTTGTGAAATTTCACATCATTATTGTGAAGGGTTCATGGAGTTAGGTATTGTCCAGGACAAATGCTTGACGCATATTTTAAATAACAAAACTAACTTAAAGAAAATAGCGACATTTCGGAGGATTAACAAAGAATAATTAAAAAACTTGTCCTTTCCAAATAATTAGCATTTGTCTGATTGACGAAGATGGTGTGTTTAAGTATTTCTTGCTTGTAGAACTGAAGATAGAGATTCACATATACACTGTCGCATAACTACTAACTTTGGTACATAACCATGTTAAATTTTATTAATGTTATAAATTTGATTTGAATTTATTTGGCATTTTACAAAATGCTTGAATTCATAAAACTTGCCTCCAACCAGATTTATAATTACTATGTTAAATTACATTTGCCGCTTTTCAATAAAATCACAAGCAAAAAAAATGAGCTTGGAGCTAAAGAACTGATTCAAATATTTTCATTAATCACCATCATTTAAAAATTTATCTTAGAAAACTGAGTGTAGAAGTGTATAAAAAACGCGAACGAACTTAAAAATGATAACAAATAAATTGATCAAGGAAGATGAAATGATAAAAGTGAAGGCTGATGAGTCATGGATGAACGAGTTCAGGATTTGAGAAATTCATTTAAACACACTATTTTATTAATGATGCTGTCCATTGCTTCAATTTCAACCAAAAAAGCCTGCTACAATTCAATTATACATTAGTTTGGTTACGCTTCCCACCGATTTTTCATCCTTCCCTCCTTACCAATATGAGAACAACCACTCTGCTTTTTTTCAAATGAATAGGAAGCTTTTTCTTCATTAAATTTCCAAAAATTTCTTTACTGAAAAATTCCATGACATTGGAGAGTAGTATTCAAAGCTTCCTTAAACCTCAACACTTCTTGGCCAGAGACTGAATTTCAACAAAAACATTCAGTTTTAATCACAACTTTATCATTTCCCGCAAGATTTCAATATTTCTTTGTTTTTTGCTGACCCAACTTACTAATATTTGAAGTGATCTTTAGCAGACAGAGTTCAAATTTTTGTTGTCACCAGAGTCACCATTATCGCTTCATCGAGGTGATTCCTCGGGCCATGTAGCCATTCGTACAAATCGAAGTTCACATCACTAAAACCATTTTTCTAAGCACCAACAGATCTTGTTTATTTTTATTTTCTTAAAATTATTTCCTCACTTCTCTTTCATTTTGTCTCTTATGCACTGTTTATGCTCGCTTTTATCATAAGCGTAAAGATACTAAAATTGCTTCAACTGAATATTTCATCGACGATCAAAGCTACAAAATTTGGATTCAGCTTAATACTGCATAATGCTTCCTATTTCCTTTCTTCACCAATGCACCTACTAATATCTTCCGGAAATAAACAGCACAGCTCATGTGAGACCAAATATGTTCGAAAATTGAATCCGGAAAGTACCAATAATCAATTTGTAGTTCCGGTAGTACTCATACAAGTGAACTTTATGCCATAATTACAAGAACAAAAAATAGGAATGGTTAACTGCCGGAATGATATGAATTTTAGATAGGAAAAAATGTGGTGAGTAAAAGGAATAATTCAGGATTGTTGCCGTCTGTGCACTTTTCGTCTTCAGTTTATTATCGACTTTAGTCCAGAACTTATCAGCCTGGCACTACCTTCAATCCTCTAACCATCCCTCCATTCTCCTACCTTCTCTTTTCTCGATAACGTTCAAGCTCCTCATCTAATTCTCCCTAATTCCTCAGTCCCGCTACAAAAATTTCTTCCCCTCACTCCTCCACTACTGCAAATTCTCTCCAATTTTTTGATTTTCTGATATCTAAAATATTCATGTGTGTATGTATGTATGTATGTACATGTATGTGTGTGTATGTGTATCTATGCATATGTATGTACACGTATGTATGTATGTGTGTGTGTGTGTGTGTGTGTGTGTGTGTGTGTGTGTGTGTGTGTGTGTGTGTGTGTGTGTGTGTGTGTGTGTGTGTGTGTGTGTGTGTGTGTGTGTGTGTGTGTGTGTGTGTGTGTGTGTGTGTGTGTATTTGCTTCTTCGCTTTGTTTATTTGTATGAATTTGTAGAAGCCTTCCTTCCGTTTTCTTCCCCGTACGATGTATTATTACTCCATTGTCTAATGCTACAGTTATGGTTTGTGTCAACCTTACCTGTCAAAGGTGGGAGTATTTATGAGAGAGAAAGAGAAGCTAGTGACAGTGACTTTTTCTATGATAAGTCAGAGAGATCGAACTATTTTCATATGGCTTGAATGTCACTGTCCTGGAATCGAACTGACAAAAAATTTCCTGCACAGTTGATAACACCAAAGCAGAGAGCTGGGCTTGCCATCATTTTGGCCTTCCTTTGAAAAGTTTCGAGGCTTGTCCTTCTGTCTCCCTCAGTCCTGAAATGTCGTGCTAGCAAGAGGGGTAGTGGATGTGTCACCAGGCACTGTCAAATTCCGCCCTCACTGAGACTATCTAATCCATCTGACTGCTATGCTTCTTTACTTATTCTCGAGAGACGGCAGCAATACATTTGATCTCTAATGGCATGCATTTGTGACCTTACTGTTTTATTACAGGTGATGCTTTGACGTAATTCTAATTTATATGATTGGTGTCATTCTCTCACTCTTCTAATTCATTTACGTGTATATTATTGCGCTATTTTTTCGCTGTTTTTTAATTTCGTATTTATCACGTGCTTTATGTAGGATTCGAGAAAAAAAAGAAGCATACGATAGGCATTATTATTCCCCTTCAATCATCACGCTTTCACCTCCACTCATTACTCATATCATCATTTTCCGAACGACAATGGTTGGTTTCCTCAAGTTTTAAATTTGATTTAAAAAAAAAAGATGAAAATGACACGTTTA